GTGCATATACACAATGGAATATTATGCAGCCATAAAGAAAGACAAACCAGGCAGCAACTTGGATGGACTTGGAGTCAATCATACTCAGTGATCTATCACAGAAACAAAGAACACTACCATATATTCTCACGCGTAAGCGGACCTTGAACAATTATGATACTATAAGAAAGGGATTGGCAGTAGTGGGCAACTATCAGAGGAGGGGGGTGGGATTGGCAGTTAAGGGAAACTGCTAGGGGAGGGAGGGGCATACCTCATCAACAAGAGTACCTGCATAATCAACATTTGTATACCTAACCCTGAATTGTACCCCACATCTTTATAATTTAAAATAAATAAATAAATAACAGCTACCCTGATGAATTAAGCAAATCTTTTTTTTTTTTTTTTTTTGAGTTGAAGTCTCACTCTGTCGCCCAGACTGGAGTGCAGTGGCATGCTCCTGGCCACCACAGCCTCGACCTGCTGGGCTCCGGCGATCCTTCCGCCTCAGCCTTCCAAGTAGCTGGAACTACAGGCGCGTGCTACCATACCTGGCTAATTTTTTTTTTTAATTTATTGTAGAGATGAGGTCTCGCCAAGTTGCCTGGGTGGGTCTCAAACCCGCGGGCTGAGGCAATCCACACACCTCGGTCTCCCAAAGCACGGGATTACAGGCTGAATCACCGAGCCTGGCAGCAAATCTTTTTTTTAACTTGTAGTTTTGTTATTACTAGACAAATAGTCTTTGGCATACAACATTTCTTAGATCATGTACTCAGATTTAGCTATGATAAACACAACATAGCTGCAGTCCAAATGAATTTTTAAAAGTAACTGACAAAGGCCTAAGTTATTATAGCTTTAGTCTCATCTCTATACAGAAGAGTCTAGAAATATTTTTCCTCAGGAAAAGAAAAATGGAATGTAGACATGGTTTGGTTGAGTTTGGTGTTTGGTTTTCCCAGGTGCCACAAATTAAACTGACTCACACTTTCTGGCTATCACTCAAACTGAGTTGACTTTGCTACTGCTTTCCCAGATCCTTCTAAAAACTAAAGGATTTTCATCTGGCATTTTAATCAGTGATTAACTACTCCCTTCTTTTTCCTGCTGGGTTAAGTAAAAGATCCATATGCTGGGTGTTCTAGGGAATTTGTTAGGCTGTAGATCACAGCCATGGTGCAAGACATGATGTGTCTCAAGGGAACTCAGGAAGCCATAAGGAATGTAAAGAGTCACCGGGTTAAAGCCACATTAAGACAGCTGTTACGTTAATGAGGGTCTTCTTTGCAAAAGAGGTCACTGTATAGAAAAATATGAACTACTCTTTATTGGTTTGATCCCATGTCCTCTGAAAGTTAAAGGGCCATTATTATTATCCTTTGACATTAATTGGGCCAGCTGAGAATTCTGGGTACTGTACAAGCTACTGGGTTTGAAATTTATTCTGTCCCCTTTCTTGGTTTGATAAAGACAGGAATGAGGAAGAATAACACAATACTCTTTTCAGTTTTTCATCACCCTCCTTGTCTGATCTCTTTAAAATAAATGTTTGAGTTTTTTGACTCATATTGAGTTCAGAGGTGATATTCGACTTATCTTAAGAACAGATCTATCTTGTAGGCTTGGCCAGCTGTAGAGTACAGGGGCCAAATCCTGAAATACAGGAAACACTCAATAGACAAATGATCAGACCTCACTTAACATGTAAACCAGGCAATTACAGAATTATAATAAAAGCAAAATAGATTTGAAGTACATATTATTGTGACATTGCTATACATTATGTTACAGTATTATAATACTACTGAATTCCTCTGCCTACTTCATTGGGATACAGAGTTCCTCCCCATTACACAGTATAGAAGTCAACTTTATTAACCTCAAATCATGATAACATATTAATATTAGTGTTATGCTAGCACAATATTAATATCCATATTAATAGAATAACTATAATATGATTATATGACTCTATTCATACTACATTAATATACATATTAATATATTATGACTTGTGGTTAATTTCATTTCTGTACTCTGCAGTGGGAGAAATATTCTGTATCACAATGAAATGGGTTCAATAGTTCCAACTTCAGAGTATCAACCCCGTGAACCTGGGTGTATCTGTGCTTCTTCCCTTTCTCACCCTGCTACCCACCTCTGGCTTACACAGCCAGTTGCCTGTGTTCCAGCTCTGAGCGCCCTCTACCACCATTCCTTTCTTGCCATTCCCACAGCCACTATTTCACGCCAAGCCCCCAGTGTCCATCATGTCAAGTGTGAGCTAGCTAGCCTGAAACCCAACGCCTCCACAGGATGTCTCAGTCCAACTACCAAGTCACAGTTTTTCTACCAACCTGCCACTACTAACACTCTAACCAAACTGCACTGTTCACTGTTCTCTCGAGATGACTGAAATGAAAATGAAAGATCACCTTATATGTAACCCATGCACTGCCAATTCTCTGTCTTTGCTCTGACAATTACTAGGATACTCTCCTCACCCTCCTTGTCCAATGAACATCCACCTCGCCTAGAAAGTCCATATTAAATCTTCCCTCTTCTTGTGCCTCTCTTGTTTACCTGAAGATCACATTTTTCTCATCTCCCATTGCACTTTTTCTCTCTCTTTCAGCATTTATCGTATCTGCTTTGTTTTTAAATTATTTGAACTTTATTCTACTTTATTCCTCATATTAGACTGCAGCTTTTTGAAAGAACCATTTCCATTCATCTTAGCGTTCCTTGAGTTTCCTAACACTGTGATTATCACATGGAAAGCTGAATAAAAACAATCACTGGGCTCTGCAGCCTGGAAGAGGCTATTTCTGTAAAATTCTGTAATAGGAGAGTCAATGAGGTGCATATATGAAAATGTTGATCAATCTAGGGATCGTGTCAACTGACTAGTTCACTGCTGAGTCCTCAGCCTGACTTTGACTCTGAAAGTCAAGTATCTGGGAAAAACACACAACATTTCCAAATAAAGTAACTTAATTTCTGGGGAGGTAAGAAGTCCTGGATACCCTAAGGCAGGGGTCCCCAACCGCCCGCCCCCCAGGCTGTGGATCAGTAGCGGTCCACAGCCTTATAAGAACTGGGCCTCGGCGGGGCTCTGTGGCTCAGCCTCTAAGTCCAGCATTTCGGGAGGCGGAGGCGAGTGAATGGCCTGAGCCGGCGGGTTCGAGACCCGCCAGGGCAATTTGGCGAGATCTCGTCTCTACAATCAATCGGAAATTAGCCGGGCGTGGTAGCGCGTGCCTGTCGTTCCAGCCACCTGGAAGGCTGAGGCGGAAGGTTCGCCGGAGGAGCCTAGCAGGTCGGGGCTTGGGTGGGTCGTGAGCGTGCCACTGCACTCCAGCCTGGGCGACGGAGGGAGACCCCGCCTCAAATCCCGCCTCCCAGCTGGAAGTGAGTGGCGGGCGCGTGGAGCTCCGCCTCCTGTCCGATCAGCCCCAGCGTTCGAGTCTCCTAGGAGCACGATTCCCTGTCGTGAACCGCGCCTGCGAGGGATCTAGGTTGCGCTCCCGTTTGAGAATCTAATGCCGGATAAGTCCCCTCCCTTCGCCCCCCCCTCCCACCTCAACCC